TTAATATTTTAAATTATATTAATTAAGTTAATCAATAGGCGTCTAGGGTTATCGTCTCTTTTCGTCGTCGCTGTTCGGCTTCGTTGCTTCGCAGGAGGTGAAGAGATTGCACGAGTCGCTTCTTCTGCTCCTTCGTTGCTGTTCGACTTCGCTCCTTCGAAGACTTTCCCTTCCTGTCGGATCGGAAGTTACCACAATCCTGTTGCCAAACAGCCCCTTAGGGACTCGAGCACTTCAAGTCTGTCGAAACCTTGGCCGGGCTTGACCAATGTTCGGAGGACACGTTATACTCTCGACTCGCATTACCTTTCGCTAACTGAACTATGTGACCGTGATAAGACCCTTCCGATCTTGTTGGGTTTATCATCTACAAAGCCCCAAATCGAACTCTGGTAAGCGGAGCACGGACAGACAGTCCCTAGCTCATCTCTTCTCATTACCTTCGAACACCTTCGATTCTATAGAACTAATTGTCCCTCTCGGAAATAGCGAGAAACAAATTCTTACCACGGCGGAGCTCTACCAATTGGGTGGCGTATTGGCCCTCGCCGGCCAAGATCTTTTACTTCTGCAGGCAGCATGTGCGGGACACTTTTATCATTCAATTCAGTGGAATTTGCCGAATGCCCTTTATGCGGGTTCAAGCGCGATGCAAGGGGTACTTCACTTTCCATCTAGCTACGTTTGATGGATTTTTTTTCTAATCCAGTTCAGTGCTGACGTACTTGTTTGATTCTGTTGTGCTTCAAACTCTAATTTTTGTTTCCTATGAGCACTTTTGTTGCTGATGTGCTATGGTTGAAATCATGTTTGACTAAGGTTCTTGACAGGGAGAATGATCATATATTTTAGGCCAATCTGTTTCTCTATATGGTTTTAGTTATAGCAACATCCCTTACTTTCTATATTTCAAGTCGAAGTGGTTTTCTCATTTGAGTTTTTTCTCTTGTATGCTGGTGGCTTGCGCTAGAAAAGTTATGCATATGATATAAAGGTTACATAGGTATCTTGTTCTTGATTTAGGATTTTAGATGACATACTCAACATGTATTTGTTCTATATCAAACTTCTCCAAGGGGATATTGCATATTAGGATCTCCAAATCTCTGCATTTTCCTTAATGGTTAATCTTTAGGAGTATGGCCCTTAATTTGCAATGATCAACATTGAAGTCTAAATAGACTTGTAGCTTCAAGTCCTAAATTACTTGGGACTTCTTTGAGCCAAGCGGTTGAAGGGAAGAGTCAAGAGGATCAATAACCGATAAGAGATAGCACTTATACTACTTTTTATTTTCGTAAAAGAGAGTAATGACAAATGTGAGAGGGAAAGTGGGTGAAATCATTACAAAGTTTATCTTTAAAGTGGAAGAAACAAGATGAGATATCCCTTTGAGTGTAAAGAAACACTAACTGAGTAGTCGAAAGTTTGGGTCAAAGAAGGTATCTATTCAGAGGTTTATGTTTTCTCATTAGGCTTGGTAATTTATAAACTTTGAAGTCGATGCCTTCTCTTGAGGTCGCCTTAGAGACTTTAGAACTCTCTTTCTTACTATCTATTGCTTGTCTTTAATGGCCACCTAGGTAACACTAGTTGACTCATCACACATCCTGCCTTTGATGAAGTTGCTTTTGCCTCTTATTGCATGCACATTAATCGTCCTCTCTAGTGCGGCTAATTGTCGATGGCATGTTGGGGACTGTGAAATGCAATCATGCCCATGCTACTATTATGATTAGCCATTTGAGGTGATCAATTCATTCATTTCCCATTTACATTGCACAGTGTAGATATATCCAATTCTACTTTGCTCTAACTCAAATACAACATAAATTATCTCCATAGAACTAACTCTATTTTTACATAATCCTATGCTCGAAATCATTACATAGTGATGGAGATCAATGTAATCTTAAGTCCCTTTGATGTGACTGTCATTTGCCTTATTAGCAAGTCCCTATAGAATTAAGAAATCATCATGATGTGACCTATTAGCCTACGGGAATTTGCTTAAGAAGATGGCTCACTTAGGGAAGATCAAGGTACATTATGAGCCTTTAGGTGTGTTCGCAGGCCATTAATGCCATGGGGATTCTAGTATATTGCTCATATGTGTTGCCAATGCTAATTATTGTTAACCTTTAAATGTTGTTGCTATGGAGACATTGCCACCACTTGCCCCTTTTATTCATCTATTTTTTTTTTAAAGAGCTTTATGCCTATCATCCTTTAGCCTTCCGAAAATGTCATTCTTCAGGACTCTAAACCAATGCAGTTTTAGAAAAACTTTTGCTCTTCCCAGTCCATGTTCCGTAGAGGTTAAAGAATCCATTTATGGGATGATTTTTGAATCACTTCCAACCCCTCAATGAAGTTCTTTAAATTATTTTTTTGGTAAAATCAATGTTTGAAATACAGAATTGATAACAAAGACATTTTGCTTTATTAAGGCATGGCCGCATGGCATAAGCCTGAAGGTAGATTGATGAGTAAGCCTCATACTTTAAAATCATAATATTAAAAACAATTCATAAATATTTCATAAATCAAGTTTATTATCATAAACAAAAAATAATAATAATAAAAGAAAATAAAGCTCGATCTTAAGTCTTAATATAATACTTTCAATTCTTAATTGAAACGTGATTCAAGTTAAGCCAGCAATTAAAATGTAAATATACTGTTACTAGGATCCGCATTATACTCTTCTTCACTAGCTAAATCTTTAGATGAATCACATATGTTACAAGTCTGTCATCTTCCACTTTAGTGTATATCGACATCCTCAAAATTATTTTTAATCACTATCATTTCGTACTAATATTAATTAGCAC